GGAGGATGACATTCCCAGGAGGAAGAACAGGGCCAAAGGAAAGGTATCTTCCGGAAGCTTCTCCCCACCACCTCCTCCCCAGAGCTGTATGTAGGAGTAGAGACTCAGTGGATTATAAACATTTCCAAAAAAAAAAAAGCTTGCGCTGTGGATCAGACCTGTCTGCAGAGCTGGGTGTGGTCCTCCACACACAGAGTCCCAGTGCCTGGGAGGCTGAGGCAGGAGAGCTGCCTCAAGTTTGAGACAAGTGAATTCCAGACTATTCTAAACTACATACCAGAGACCCTGTGCAAAGAGAAATAAAAAAAAAATTCTAACCCAAACCAACCACCCAAATAACCACTCCCTCCCGCACACACAACACAGAACAACCCAAAATCTTCTACTGGATGCCCTTTATGCCAGCACTCAGGAGGCAGAGGCAGGTGGGATCTCTGTGAGTTTGAGGCTAGCCTGGTCTACAGAGTGAGTTCCGGGACAGCTAGGGCTACTAAGAGAAACCCTGTCACAAGCAAAACAAAACCAAAACAAAAATCTCCAGTAAAAGCAATAAAAATGTGTTAGAGCACACCTTTAATCTCAGCACTAGAGAGGCCAAGAAAAGAGGATCTCTGTGAGTTCAAGGCCAGTCTGATCTATATAGTGAGCTCCAGGACAGCCAGGGACAGCCAAACAGCAACGACAAAAAGAATTATCTTCATGTTTGTACTGAGAGAAGTCGAAGACTTATAGCTAGAAAGTTTGCTCAGTTTCATGTGCAGGTTGACTTGCTGTTGTGGGGTGCAGATGGAACCCAGAGTTTCAAACTCACATGACAACTGCTCTATCACTGAGCCAAACCCCAAGACTGAAAAGAAAATTAAATTGTTTTCCAGTTTGACTTTCAAGTCTAAGTGAAGAAGCCCAATAAAGCATGGCAGCAAACCCATAATCCAGAGGCAGGAGGTGACTGCATGGCCAGCCTCTTCTACATAGTGAGTTCCAGGACAGCCAGGGCTACACAGTGAGACCCTGCC